TACGTCATACAGTATTTGTCTTTCTCTGTCAGATTTATTTCACTTAGCATAATGTCCTCCAAGTCCAGCCATGTTGGTGCAAATGGCAAAATTTCTTTCTTTTTTATGGCTGAGCAGTATTCCGTTGTGCAATCTGCAGAGTAAATGCAATGTCTATCAAAATACCAAATGCATTTTGCGTAGAACTAGAACAAATAATTTTTAAATTTGTATGGAAATACAAAAGACCGCAAATAGCCAAAACAATTTTGAGAAAGAACAGAGCTGGAGAAATCATGCTTCCTGACTTCAGACTATTCGACAGAGCTCCAGCAGGACTTCTTTAAAAAGGCTAAATAATAGTTCATTGTATGTATATACTCCATTTTCTTTGTCCATTCATTTGTTGATAGACATTTAGGTTGTTTCCACATCTTGGCTATTGCGAAGAGTGCTGCAGTGAACAGGGGCATGCCGGTATCTCTTCAACTTCCTGATTACAATTCTTTTGGATAAATGCCCAGAAGTAGGATTGCTGGATCGTACGCTAGTTCTGTTTTTAATTGTTTGAGGGATCTCCATACTGTTTTCCATAGTGGCTGTGACATTTTGCCTTCCTACCAGCTGTGGACAAGGGTTCCAGTCCATCCTCACCAACACTTTTTGCCTTTTGTTTTTTGATAATGGCCACCCTAACATTCGTGAAGTGATACTTTATTGTGGTCTTGATTTGCATTTCCCTGATGGTTTGTGATGTTGAACATCTTTTCATACATCTATTGGCCATTTGTGTCTTCTTTGGAGAAATGTCTGTTCAAATCTTTTGCCAATTTATTAATCAGATTATTAGATTTTTTCCTCTTGAGTTGTAGGAGTTCCTTATGTATTTTGGAAATTAGCCCCTTACTAGATATATAGTTCACAAATATGTCCTCCCACTCTGTAGGTTGGCTTTTCACTGTTTCCTTTGCTGTGCAGTAGCTTTTACTTGGACGTAGTCCCACTTACCTGTTTTTGCTTTTGTTGCTTGTGCTTTTTGTGTCATATCCATGAAATCATTGCCAAAACCAATGTCTGAAACATTCTCCCTATGTTTTCTTGTAGGAGTTTCATAGTTTCAAGTTTTATATACAGCTTTTAAGCCATTTGAATTGATTTTTGTGTATGGTATACAGTAAAGATCCAGTTTTGTTCTTTTGTAAGTGGAAATCCAGTTTTCCCAACACCATTTGTCGAAGAGACTGCCTTTTCCCCGTCATGTATTCTTGGCTCCTTGTCAAAGATCAGTTGGTCATATATGCATAGGTTGATTTCTGGGCTTTCCATTCTGCTCCATTGGTCTACATGTCTGTCTTTATGCCAGCATCATACTGTTGTAATTACAAAAGACCCTAAATAGCCAAAACAATTTTGAAAAAGAAGAACAAAGCTGATCGCACTTCCTGATTTCAAAATATATTACAAAGCTAAAGAATCTTCCAACATCTTAAAGCATAACTTCACTCTTATGAAAAAATGTTGTGCTGGGTTTCAGTTAGCGGTGGGTTAATGGCAGCTGCCTGAATGCTGATCTTGCCACATGTCCTCCCCGAAAATCTGTTAGGAGCACAAGTAAACACATTCATGAGATTATTCTTTTAACATTAGTAGGAGACGAAGGATACCACAAACTTCAGATAGTCTATAAATAGAAAAATAAATAGCAAACTTCAAACAGAGTTCCTGTTCTTGCTTCAAGCCTGGAGAGTGGAAGAGGGGTCTTTAAAATCTCTGTGGAAAAGAGCAGAAGGAAGCAGGAGGCTTGGAAGAAGCACAGTGAAAATCTCCCTAGAAAAAGAAAGTCTAAACAGAGGTCAGGTCTAGGAGTTGGTAATTCACAGCCCTGAGGACAGGGAAGGAATTTGAACATTGGCAGGAATAGAGGGGGCAGCCTTGGCAAAACATTGCTTCTGGAGGAGAAAGAGATTAAAAAAAAAAAAGCAGTGGAGATGCCCTTCAGATACCTGGAAGTAAAGAGAAAGATGGAAGTAACGGTGCGGGGTGGAGTACTGAAGAAATGGAATCCTGAGGAAATGGAAGACCAGAAGACATGCCAGTAACCCTTCATAACTCAACATCACCCATTAAATAAACTGACTTTCATTGTGCTGACAGAAGGAAACAGTCTCAAACTAGGATCCCTGTCCATGAAATGCCCAGCAATAGGAGAAATCATAAATAAAGAAGAAATTACCAGGAGAAATTTCCAAGAGAAAATATATTGAAATAAAAAATTAAGTCATTGAATTTCAAAGAAGAATTTAAATGAGGTAAAGAAAGACATTTAAAGGGTCCTAGAGAAAGTGACTGAAATGGAAGACAGGTAAGATCCAACATGTAATTGGAACCTCTAGAAAAGAAAAACAAAATATTTGAACCAAATCATTTAAAGATGTAATCTAAGAACATTTTCCAGAAATAAGGGAAAACCTGAATCTATAGATCCAAAAGCCCCACTGTGTCCTTTTTGACTCGGAGTGCTTAATCCCAAGACATACCAGTAAGATCATTAGACTTTAAAAACAAGGGAAAATTCCTCAGGACCTCAAGCAAAAAGAACAAATTCCATAATGGCTGAGAAAATGAGTGGGACACCAGACTTCTCAAGAGGAGCATACAAAGTAAGGTGAGAGCGGAGCAGCATTGTCAAGAAACCCAAGGACAGAAGGTGTGAGCCAGGGACGTTATGTCTAGCTGTCCTTCATATCAAGGCTATAGAGAAATAGCTTAAAACATGTAAAAACTCAGGGAATACTGTGTG